CTGTTTCAAAACACTTATATTGTTTTTTTGCATCTCAAACTAAAAAAGTCGTTGAATTTCGAAAGCACATTAGATCTTACAATAATATGTTCCCATTCACATCTTTTGGAGTTAGGTTAGATAAGGATCTTGCATCTTTAAGACAAGGTATTTACACTTTTCGAACACAAGGGCAAATATATAATGATATTCTAGCATTAGTTCCATAAAAAAATAATCCATGTTATTTTCAACTATACTTTTATGATATTAGTAATGAACCTCAAAATAGAATGAAAACACAATATAATGAAAATTTAAGTACAAAAGTTATGAAAATACTAATAAACATTCTAGAAGAAAATCCTTATACCCAAGTCTTGTGGAGATTAAAGGATATATATTCTTTTAAGGATTTTGAAATTCGTATTGTAACAAATGCTAATCTAGATCAACGAATTTATAATCGTCCATTTGTTGATCAAATAACTTACTATTAAACTAAAACTAAATCATCAATAATTAGTAGTAAATCATTCATAACCTAGTAGTAAATTTTTCATAAATTAGTAGTAAATCAATGCTAATTTAGTAGTAAATCATTGATATTTTAGCAGTATATATTTGCTAGCTTAGTAGTAAATTACTGATAACATAATAATAAATTAATGATTACTTAATTATCAATTATTGATAAAATATTTTTTTATATTTAAAGTTGTCAGGAATTGAACTTTGGTTACTAGCAGAAACGAAATTAGAAATTTCATTTTGGGAAACTAGGATGAATCTACCACGAACCTATTCAATAAAAAGTTTAGTGAAAAAAATTATAAATTTGAATGAAACAATAATGTTATTATATAAAAAAAATTATCTTATATTAGAATCGAACCTGCATTTTTCTATAAGAATACATTGTTAAAATATGATGACACAAATTTTATTAATGATTACTAAAAGTATATCATAAGTTACCAGAAAATTAATTACTAAAATTACATCAACAGGTTACTAAAATTTTATTAATGGTTATCCAAATTATATCATAAATTATCAAATTAATATAAAAAATTATTAAGATTGTATTGAATATTACCAAAATTTTATAAAAAATTATCAAAATCAAAGTTATATAAAAAGTTATCAAATTTTACTAATATTATACCAAAATCAAAATTAAATTCTTAGTATTTATCATTATTATCATAGAATCAACAAAATTAATTTATTAAAATGATTTTTTAAATTGAGGGATAGTTTTGTCAAGTGTTACCTATTGTTCTGCATGATATAAGAGCAAAAATAGTTAATGTTAGTTTTGCAAAGTGTTATTTGTGGAGTAAGATGAAAAAATTGAAATTGACAAAAAATATGAGAGCAAGATTAGATGATAGTTTCAGTGAGTTTTTGCTTATGAGTAAGAAATGGTGTTGAACCTACATTAAGTAATGACTTAATTCTTCTTTCAAAGGAAATTGTGATAAAATATAAGAATAATGAAATTTCAGATAGAAAGTTGATTGACAACATCTTTCCTTTTCTTAAAGAGAATGTCAGGTCTAAAAAATATATGATGGAACATGCAATTCTTGCAACAAAGAATGAGCATGTTAATAAATTCAATGCAAAAATGATAAAGATATTCTTAGGTATCAATATCAAAAAAAGTTAAATAATTGCTAATATTGCCATATTGATATTTATATAATATATATGATTAATTTTGAATATATATTTTCAGGTGAAAGTAGAATATTTTATATCAACCAAGTTTGGTGCAAAAATTGCATAAAATTCACTACAAATTTTGGATCAAGGTAAGATATTTCATTATAATAACATGTTATATACATCAAATAAATATGCACTTTTTATTCTAATCAAATGAAATTCAAATTAATTTATATGATGTGAATAGGTACGTGTTAAAAATGTAGATCAATGATGGAAATGAAAGTATTATATTTACTTTATCTCAAGCTACAAAAACTCTCATTGGTTATGAAATTTCAAAATATCTTAAGTACTTGAATGATAAGGTAATGAATTATTGTTTACACAATTGTAATTTAATTTAATATAAAATATTATTTACAACATTATTATTATTTAATTGTAGGAAGAAACAAAGAAAAGAGGAGAACTTGATTATTACAACAATCTAGTTTCAAGTCTAAATAAGGAATTTAAATTTTTAGTGTAAATAAATAAAAACAAGAGTTTGAATGAGTTAAATGATGATTGATTACTTCAGAAATACATAAAATTAAAGATAAAGATCTATCAACAAAGAAAAGATAAAGAATGCTCGCGAAAAAACAAAAAGTAAAAAAAAAAAAGGAAAATATTCAATCCAATTTGATTATTATGAAAATGATCCTCTAAAGAAATAAAATGAAAAAAAAAATAAAAATGAAGATGATGATCTTACACTAGAAAACTTCAAGAAAAAGTTTCTTAGTAAAAAGATCAAAATGGAGAAAGAATAGATATTTATTTTTTATGGAGCTTCTTTTTGAGTTTATAGATATTTATATATTTTTTTGAATTTTAAATTTTATTTAGTATAATAATGGTTAATTTAATTTTATTATCTAAAATTATTAAAATTAAATTATTGTATATTATAATTTAATTGACTATCACGTGCATAACACGTGGCCAAAAACTAATATATATATATATATATCTTTGGTAAGCTCAATTCCTTAATTGATCAAAATTGAAAACACGTTGATTTACTCAAATTCCTGAGATTGTTAGGCGAAGGCTGTTAGAATATGGGATTGAAAAAACTGAGAAATTAAGAAAATCCTCCAACATGTGTATCATTGCTACTTCTTTAAGGTTTCATTAGTTTCCATCACTTAATTAATTAAGTGTGCAAAAAAATTATAGGTATAACCTTGATATGCAATAAAATTCAATAATTAATTGTGTTTTACATTAATGACATGAATCCATTAAGAATTTTCCTACTTAAGAACAAGAAAATCTGATTTGGATTATAGAAAATTTATAGGGGAATTTTTTTTCTGCTTTTGTATCATGTACAGACTTTTTCAATGTCATTTTTGTGTCTTTAATTTTGGTTACAGATTTTATTTTTCAAGAGACACAACCTTACAATGTTCAATTCATCAGTACTTTCATTGTTTAAGAGAAGAAAATTTGAGGAAAATGACCTAAATTCGTCGAATTTGATCATTTGAAGAGAGGTGATCAAGCCACAATCAGAAAAAAACCAATTGGAAATAATTAAATGCTCCATAGTATCAAGACACATAACTGGGTTTTTATTTTTCCTTAATTCTATTTCTTGGTCTTTGTTTGAATCACCGTCACACTTTGGAATGTGATAGCTTTCTAGATAGCCATTGGTTATTCATAACTGCAACTTGCCCTAGTGGGTTTGGTAATCTTTAATTAATGCTACTATATTATTTTTATTTCAACTTGATCGTGTTTCTAAATTGAAGAATGAGTTCCTCAATAAACAATGCTAACCATTTATCTTTTTTTTTTCTTTTTTAATAATGCGATAAGGGTGCAATTGAACAAAATATTAAAATAATTATTGGAGATTACATCTTCTCTAAATGGATTAAGTATACAAGAATTAAGAGTTAAAAGATAAATTAAAAATTAAACAAAAAAAAAAAGAATTAAGTTTTGTTTATTCTAATTCTCTCTAAGAATGCATTTTTTTGGTATCCTATAATATGTGTAAAAACTTGTTTTATTCGAAAAATTGAGTGTTGTTTCGAAATCTATTTGAATTAATAAAATCAGTGGCAGCATTTTTTTTTTTTAAGATTAGCAATTGAATTCCCAAATCGATATTTTATGACAGTATGTCTAGAACTTGAAAGATATTTTGCAAGAATTGTTTTTGGTTGGAAAAAAAAAAAAACAAGACAGTATTATTCCATTTCTTAACATACTTGTATAATAATATATTGTATTTTATACAATTTTTTGTTATCTGGTCTAGGGGCATTAAACAATTATCCATGTGTCACAGGTTGAGATTTAAATATCAAATCAATATGATTTTGAGATCCGGACATTTATTCATTTGACGTCTCAGATCAACTTAATCGACATGATTCATACTCTTGTGAGATATTATTCGCTTTGACCCCTTTGACCTCACGGTTTTATCTTATAAAAGATATTTCACATGAAAGAGATGGTGTGAACCTTTATATATCATAATAATTTTTTTTTTATGTTCGATGTAAAATTCAAGACTCTTTTTTAAATTTGTGACACATGCATTTATAACTTATGATAGTTAAGGGCACCGAATTAATAAAAAAAAAATCTCAAATTCTTGTTCATTGATCATCTCAAGTCTTATCCTCCTAAACAGTTAATTATGAGAATGAGAATGAGAATGAGAATGAGAATTAACTTTATTCATTTGCACTTCCATATCTTTTTTTTTTTTTTCATAATTCCCTTTTCCTTTTTTAATTTAACAACTTTATTTAAGTCGGTATTTGAATGCAATTGCACTTTTAACGAGATATAATTAAATTTTAATTATCATTAATTAAATTTAAATATTAAATTTAATAAGATTTATTTAATATAAATTTTTTATTAAAAATTTTTAATCATATTTATAATAATTTTTTTAATTATAATTATAATTATAATTATAATTATATAATTTTACCATCCATTCAAATGAACAGTAAACTCGTGAGTGCTGAATTTGAAATATCATCATCATAAAAACTGAAAAGTTGGGACAACAAAATAATGGGTTAGTGATTTATGTTGAATTCTTGATGTTTTATGTTCATCATCTAATCTAATCTAACACATACATAACATCATCTCTCCACCAATCATTTGTTACCTTCCATAGGTTAATGTTCCCTGATTTTACATTTTTACCCTTCAATGTCTGTTTAACTATGCTGCCCTCAGAAGAGTAACCCACCAGTCAAGTTCAACATGCAGCATGAGGCTAGTTGTGTCATTTCAAATGCTAGCCTTAAAGGTGCTTTGGGTTTGTCTATTTTTCATTTCATTACTTGAAACTGAACTCAGTTTCCAGACTTAGGTGAGAGCTGCAGTTCTGTGTTCTTTACTTCAGGAGATTTGTTCTGTTAAACTTGAGAGAAAATTTATGTCTGCTCTTAATGCAATCTGGGTCTTTGAAAAGGTCAGATTTTTTCCTTAATCCAGATTTCTCATTCATCAAGTTTTCCTTTTCATTAATGTAATCAATATTATGTTTAATTGCTTGTTGATTTTGCTATGTTGTTAATCTTGGGCATGTTTGAATTTATAGTAATATTTATGGTAGAACTAACTCACTTTGGGATGTTAGGAACTCAGAAAATTTCTGTATTTGGATCTTGTTTTAACAACCTCTGTTTGGTGGCCAAGGAAACACATGGACAGATATGACAATCAAGTTTTGAAGGTCATGCTCTATGTTTGAATTTTTTGAATCAAAAAGAATAATCAATGAAGATATGGATACTAATAAAAAAATCTAACCATGAAACTCAAATTTCTTCTGTTATTCATAAAATATGATGCTTAAATTTCTAACTTTTAATTTTCTCATTGATATCTAAAATCCGCCTTTTTTTTTTTTGCTTTGATAAGAAATAAAACCCTTTTTTTTCTGAAAAAAAAAAGACAAAGAAGTTATTATCCTTGAACCGAATTTTCTTGTAGGGGCCTTTCCAGGCTATGGAATTAATTCTTCCCCTATTGAAAAATATATGGCTTTCTTAGCCCCGAGTTTATGCTTTCTCAGATATACTTCTGTAGGAAGAATGTAAATTAAAGGAGGATGATGTCATTTTAAAGTGGTATTACATGCTTCATTCTTACTTCAGTGTCTCACAAAACACAAAATGCTGGTTTTTCTACTTTTTTTTTTTAATGTAATGGATGGATGAGTACTGCGAATCCTGAAGTGTCTACGTAGGGGTATGCGTTTAGCTACTTTGATTCAAATATGCTAGAAACATTGTATGTTAAGCTTTCATCTCCAGATCCATGTGTGTGGAAATGTTTTTACACTTTTACTAAGAAACATGCTTACCTCATGTATTAAGAAACTGAGGCTTTTTCATGATAGCTCTCTCTTTTGAATTTAATAGTTTTATTTTTAATGTTGGGGCATGTGCACCCTTGCACATTAGTATTTGTGTTTGGTGTGAAGAAGCATATTTTGACAGAGGAGAATTGCTTTATTCTCATACTTTCTGAGTTCATGTTGGTTGCTAATTGTTATCTTTTCTGTTAAACTTCAGTTTGATCATATCTTTCAGCTGTGTGAAGCATGAATTTTATATTCCTTCTCTCTGCACATGGACTTAACTGCAGTAGCCAAGCCTTGCAATCTTGGTAACAAGAGTACAAGTGATGTCATTCTACGTTTGAGAAATGGTGAAGGAAGACCTGAATGGTTCTACTCCCACTCCTCCATTCTCATAAATAAAAGCGGGTTCTTTGCAGATCAGCTTTCTAATCCAGACTCTGGCCCCTGCATTGAGATTCAGTGCTCGGACTCTACTTATGATCATCATGTTAACCTTTTGAGATTACTATATCTCCCTGCTGATTCACTTTTGGACTCCCTTGGCTCGGTTAAATCTGCTATTGGTATTCTTCAGCTAGCAGTTGCCTTTCACTGTGAAGACATCACAAACTGCTGCATCCAGTACTTGGAGGCTATCCCTTGGGAGGACAAGGAAGAGGAACAAATTTTACAAGCAGTTGCGAAACTGGGGCCAATAGCCATGCCTATATTGGCCAGGATCCAACCAGTAGATGTAAGCGCCACCAAAAATGTATTTGTTTCAGCAGTTCGCTTTGCCACTTCAATTGGTGGATCCTGTCCACCCTTTGGAGATGAGCTTAAAACATCTGCACAAGAACAAGTGGAATTCATGCTTGGAGGAGATGAAGACACCCCATTAGTTACAGCTGATGATGAAGTGAAATCAGTGGTAAAAATGGGTCTTTCCCAAGTTTGTTCATCATTTGAAAAGGAATTGTCTTCCTTGCTTGTTATCTCAGACATCACTACAGAGACTGCGGAGAATAGAATTTTGCAGAGCCTATATGATGTTGAGTGGATGTGTAACATACTCCCCAAGATGGATTTAATGAAGGACTTTGTTTCTAGTTGGGCTGAAATGTCTGGTAAGGTTTTGGGGGTTGTTGAGGACAAGAAATTTGATACTGTCATGTGGGGTTTGAAGATGAAGCTTATAGAAGTGACTGGGAAAGTTTTGGAAGCAGTTGGCTATGGAAATGTGATTCTCCCTGCACCATGTCGGGTGCAATTGCTAAAGACATGGCTACCCTATATAAGGAAGATGAAACCTCTCCTTGATGCAATGGGCAACAAGGAGATAGATTTTCCTTACAAGATGGATGAAGACTTGTGCCAGAGTATCGAGGGGGCAATAGTATCGCTAGTGCTAGCATTGCCATCAAATGATCAAGCTGAAATTCTATCAGACTGGATGAATACCGAACAGGTTAGGTATCCTGACTTGAGCGAGGCATTTGAAGTATGGTGTTACAGAACCAAGTCAGCAAAAAGAAGATTGATGGAGGGCTTGGATAGGGTTGGCAATACCACCATTAGCCTTTGATTTGTTCTCTAATGTTGTTGTGTGATTAATTTTTTAAATGAATAGATAGATGGTGGCAATCCCTATTTCTGTAATGCTGACTCAATGAAAGCTCTACATGATCCTTTCACCTTTTTTTTTCCCATCTCCATGTAGTTTCCAGGTACTTGTTGCACAGGTGGTGCAGGGTAAAGTAAATAGATCATTAGCCGTGCGTATTTGGTTGGTACTGGTTTGATCACACCAAACTAGTAAGAAAACCAGTCCCATATTCGTGGTAGTTGTCTGAAATTGAACTGTCGTTATAACATATATTTGAATATGACTTTTAAAAGGGATTTTAATCCTGGTGTGTATTCAACCCCATAGACAAGCTTGTATATAATACAACTATGCAAGCCATTGAAGTCACGGATAGCTCTGCGTGTAGATTTAGAATGCAAGGTTGTGGTCAGCTGCTTAGTGGATAACAACGTGTTCGAAGTTCAAACGCCAACAACCAATTGTCCGCCTGTCTCATCCAACTCACCTTGTTCCGTTGCCGGTGGTCAGACAATGTCTGGTTTAGTTGTTTACCACATCTTTTTTCGCTCGCAACAAGCTCTCGAATCCAAGCCCATTTTTATAAAATCAAGGAAAAGGGCCAAAGACGTTTCCTCATCTCAATTTCTTCAATATTTTTTAATGGAAATAACTCAATTTTATAGACCACCGACTTAATTTTTTTCATTTAAGGGTAAAGATTTTTGGATTTTGCTTTACATTTTTTTAATTGATTCAATAAATTTATTTACATCAAATTTAAATAATTTATAAAAAATTATCCAATCTAATTAATTTATAAAAAATTATAGACCTAATTTCATCAGCGAAAATGCTGCCACAAGGAACCTTCCTGGGTTCCTTCACCTTTTTATATGTTATCAGGCAGATTCGAACCTTGCCTATTTTATACAACGACAACAAGCCAGGGATAACCATAAAACATGCGGAAAGCGCAGAGAGAGTGAGGTTTGAATAGGTAAAACCCAAACACACCACCAACAAAGGTAACATCATCGTACATCTGTCGCCATTATCAATCCTTGAATCAACATCCGTTTGTTTAATTAAAAAAAAAAAAAAAACCCAGAGTTTTAATAATAAGGGAACAGAAGAAGAGAAAAACAAAAGTAAAAGATGTACGTGAGAGCTGTGCCACCAACAGATCTGAACAAGAACACAGAGTGGTTCACGTATCCAGGAGTTTGGACCACTTATATCTTGATCGTTTTCTTTTCATGGCTCATCGTTTTGTCTCTCTTTGGTTCCTCTCCTGGAACTGCTTGGACCGTTGTTCATCTCTCCCATTTCTTTGTAAGCTTTCTTTTCTTTTTCTTCTTCTGATTTAGATTCATAAAAATTGGGGTTTTTTTTTTTTTTTTTTTGCATTCTTTATCTGGGTTTTAATTTGATGGGGGGGGGGTTATTGTTGTTTATTTTTCTTGGTGAGAATGTTTTCTTGATGGGGTTTTGGAATGAACTAAGGGTTTGATGATTTCTTGATGCTTTAGCAAGCAAATATAAAATAATTTTCCTGCGTTTTTTAAATTTTGGGATTTTTGTGGATCAGCTCTGCAATATTACCTTGACTAGAGAGATTTAGCAGATACCCTGAATTGCTTCTTTTGGAGAGGAGTAGCAGAAAGTTTGAAATTTGAGTTTGTGCTTGGTGGAAAGTCTATGTCTATGATTACAACCACTCAAATAATTTCTTGATAGTATTAATTTGTTATGTCTCTTTGTGTTTGTGAATTAATTTTGCAGACTTATCATCAGTTTTTTGGCCTTTGTGATGCCCATATCTGCAAGTCTATTGGAGTTTTAATTACATAAGGAGGGAAAAAGTTTCAGCACTAACTGTACTAGTACACGGATATGTATTGGACTGATGATTTAGTTCTCTAGATGCCAATGGACAAATATTCTTAAAAATTATGCCATGTAATTTCCTTGTTATTATTTAGGTTAGGCGTGGTGCAACATGTTATTTATGAATAAACAAATAAGCCGGAACTCTTAAAGCTCCTTTTTTTTTCTCATTTTTGAACAAAAAGTAATTAATAAACTGAAGTTTCTATTGGAAATTCAGTGCATCAATATTTCAAATTGCCTTGAAATGGTATATTCATACTAAATTGCATGCCTATAACAGATGCCTATAACAATGGTATAAAAATTGTCTTTTTTCTTTTTCCTTTTTGTCTTTTGGACTCACACAGTTATGTGAGAAAGTCTGAGAATAATACCCCGCTTTGTCAAATTATTATGCTTAGCTACCTTGTGAGTTTCTAAATCCGCTGTTTGTCAACCCCTTGGGATGGCTGTAAAGGGCTAATTGACCTTAACATTTTTAGAGTAGGGGGTGTACTTTCCCCCTCTGAGATTTGATTGGGTGATATCTGTGCTGTTACAAACTGTTTCATTTTTCATGATTCTGGTGTAATACTTTTCTAGTTTTATTGATGGCTTGATATATGTTTTTGATTGGAAATCAGAATGTTTAAGTCATAAGAGTATTCTTAGTGGCTAATTGAAGGAGCCACAACTAGTACACCTGTGATTACCAGCATTTGTCAATGTTTTGTCATCTTCCTTATATAACACTCTTTCCTGCCTTCTTTAGGAGTGAAGGAAGGTAAAGATTTCACCTATACAGTTTAGAAGCGTTTAATGCTCATGAACCACAAAATCTCTTCCCTTTCCCATCATGCTGAAAATTCTTCTAAATAACAGATATGCCCCTAGATGTCTTTATCTTTGTGTTGCTCAGACTTAAGTTATTTGAATTTCTGCTTCTAGATGTCTAAATAACAGATATGCTGTTATTAAGGTGGAGCAATTTGTTAGACCTTTCCTGGAAATAATAAATTATAATATCTAGTGAGAGATTTGCTTCTCATTATTATGCATTAACAGATACGCCCCTAGATGTCTTTATCTCTGTGTTGCTCAGACTTGAGTTATTTGAATTTCTGCTCCTAGATGTCTAAATAATGGATATGCTGTTATTAAGGTGGAGCAATTGTTAGACCTTTCTGGGAAATAATAAATTATAATATCTAGTGAAAGACTTGCTTGTTTTTATTGTGCATTAAGATAGAGTCAATAAATTATTCTGTCTTCATTCTTCACTATAACAATTGTAAATGCTATAGTATTCAATTTTATCGACTTTGCAGTCTATGTTTCTTAATGAGTGTGTTGTGCATGGATTCACATCTTACCTTAGGTTACGTATCTCTTCTTTCACTGGAAAAAGGGAACACCATTCGCTGATGACCAAGGTATCTACAATGGATTGACTTGGTGGGAGCAAATAGACAATGGCAAGCAACTCACTCGAAATAGGAAGTTCTTGACTGTTGTACCTGTTGTGCTGTAAGTATTGATTTTCCACTATATAAGTCTTTATAAAAAATTGGAACAAAAAACTTGAAATATTTTTAATTTAAGGATGGGGTCATTTCACTAAAAAGTAAAAACTGCAATAAGAGTTTCCATTTTTAATTCGGTTCATATATGCATACGTTCTCTTAGATGCCTATGATCAACCATTGCCACACTCCCAAAAGTCTCTTGTTATGGCCTAGTATACATTTATAGTGGATTTACGATTGTTCAAAGGATTAGTTGACAAAGGACAGTTTAAGGGACATGTAATGGATTTTGACCTCCTCCCTAGCCATACACTAGTTTGATGGTGGATAACTTGGTCCTCCATGATTCTCAATATCAAATTTCCACCGAGTCATCATTTAACAGTATGACATTTTGTTCGCTGAATTTGAACTGTATGTTTTTTCAGTACACTTGATTCTTCTCTCACTATCATTATTGGTCTTGACATTTTGAAGTGCTTTTCCGTTGTCCTTTTGAAGGATCGATGACATTTAACAATTGATTGAAAAAGCTCCTATATCACTCACTAGACACTACTTTCCTCTTTCATGATGAATTCATCACTTTTCTGCATATTGAACAAGCTGTTTACTGCTGCCATATTTGTTCTATGGCTCTTAAATGGAATATTTTAGCACTTTGTTACCTTAGATAAGAGTACTGCAATGTGATGCAAAACATAATACAAGAACTTTGATATTTTCTTTTTTCATGGTTAATGCCATCGTTCTCTTACCCTACATTGTATTTGCCAGGTATCTGATCGCCTCACACACAACAGATTATCAAAACCCGATGCTTTTCTTCAACACCCTGGCTGTTTTCGTTCTGGTGGTTGCAAAGTTCCCTAACATGCACAAGGTCCGTATATTTGGAATCAATGCTGATCATTGATCTGCGAAGGAATCCATGTCTTGTTTCTCTAGTACTAGGCTTCATTATTTTGTCATTCCAAAGTATAATTGTAATATCCCTGTACAGGAAACTGAAAAGGGCATTCTTGTTTCTCTTTAACGAAGTGAATACGTATACCTCCCTTTATGGGAGGGAAAAATACATTCATAGAGAGTAATTTCTCACTTTGCAAGCTATTGATCTTGTTCTAGTGTTGTCAGCTTAAGCCAGAAATCTCTTCTACTTCCCTCAGAACTTATCCTCCCTAATATCTGGAGATCAGCGGAAACCAGTCTCCTACTTGAGTGCACTTTCTGTTGCCTTAGGATTGATCCACTTACCCGACCTGATTTCTGGATTGAAATGGCCCAGCCTTTTTTAACCCCACTCCCCCCTTTTTTCTAGCGTTGTCATATACAGTATTATCTTTTGGATTCTTCATACTGGTTTGCCAGTCCACGAATGCAGAAACCTATAGTTTAAAATTAAGAAGCTGTGAGAGTAATGGGCATTATTGTTCATTTGTGTCCAAGTATCTAGCTAATTTTCCCTGCCTTGAATAAGCTCAAATATTTTTCGTTCAGTAATTTTTAAGAGCTAGCATTCCATAGGTTTGAAATTCGGATATCAGTTTTTACAACCTCTTTCGTTACATCCACATTCGATTTTTTTTTAACAAGAAATATATATGGACTGTGTTCAAGGTCATAATCTGCTCTCCTAACGTAATTTCCAATTAAACTTCTCAAACTAAACTGTTGTATTTTTTCTTTACACATCTAATTAATCTCAAATTGAGGTTAAAGGTTTGGTTTTTTTTTTTTTTTTCTTTCAACTCTTAACAAAAAAAAGGAAAGGAATAGCAAGGTCTTCAGCGAAGGTGGATCCAACCTTTCACTTGAAGTACATGACATGTACGTGTCGGCAGTGGATCACTCACTCACTTGCCTACCAAGCCATGAGTGAAACTCATGCGGTGAATTGAATCTCAAGCTAAATTCAGTGCACGCAACTCCTGGTCGTGGTTCATGTGTAAAAAAAAACTCTGCGCTTAATGAATTCGATGGCACGTTTCCATGTTTACTAATAGCATGTTCTAAATTCTCCCCCGTTTTGGCTTCGTTTCTAAGTAGTGTTTAGTTTAAAGCGCAGACAAGATACATATAAAGCTACCCTTTTTTTTTTAATGAAAACGAGCTGTTTTTTAAAATTATTTTAGTTCAGACATCATGGATCAGTGAAGTTAAGTTGCAACCGATAATTTCAACACATGGCAACACGAATGAAATATACCAGTTGATCTTTAGTATTAATTATGTTATGAAAACCAAGAAATCCTTTGAAATTTATAATGAAAGAAGATTAGAATATTCACTTAATTATACTCTAAACGAATTCCAATATCCATTTTAGTGCATGGAAAATGAGTTTTGTGTAATTGCAAAATGTCATCTAGATGGTTCGAAGTCTTATGTCAGATCACCTACCCATCCATCAAGACAACAAAAAAACAAATAATTTCACCTTTGCCTTTTTTCCTTGTGATGTTTCCAGAAATAGCTTTCCTTGGGTAAGGAAAAGATTTGAATCTGAAAGCTCCATTCTTCTTGTTTAAGGAAAAATGTTTTTGTCAGGCATTCTCGTTGTTTAGAGTAAAATGTAACATGGGGGTTGGCTGGATGGATATTCTGGTTTCCTAAGCAGCCCATGGAGAAAGTAAAGTAGGATCAACAGGTCATTAACTTAAAATAAAGGGAGAGATCAGCTGGTTTAATTTAGGCAGGAGAAAGAGACTTCCATGATAGAGGAAGGGCCTGGAGGGGCGCTACTACAGGCTTAAACTCATTTGCCGGTTATTATGCACACTTATAAGTGGCTTACAGCAAAGAACAAAATTGAACTAACATATAAATAAAGGGGTGTAGATATGGATTGATCAAAACCTTAGTGGGGTTGTATTATTCTTCAGCACACTTGTCGAGGGGAATGTTTGTGGGTCCCTTCTCAAAGACTAAAAGGAGGCTTTGCCAGATCTTTCTCAATCTTTCAATTAGAAAAAGGGAAAGAGGGTGGCATGGAAGGAAGCAATGATCACTCTCATGGAAATGGGGCTAATGTGAGGGAGCCTTCAAAACTGTTTGGATATAGAAAATCAGTAGGTGAGCTTTTGGACTGATCGGGCAGGTTTCAATATAGCCTTCCAGAATAACACAAAAACCTTTCAGTTACTATCCTTTTTTCATTCAGGAATTCTTTATCACAAGTTTACAATGGCATGTGGGAAGGATCAGATTACTTACCTGGCACAATTCTTCTTTCTAAGCTCCCATCTATTTTCTGGAATGAATATGAATGTATCTCATGGTGATGATGTCATAATCTGAAAGCCTGTTTTTCTCAGTTCATATAATAATATCTGAAAGCCTGTCTACAGTATAAAACAAGAGATCGAAAAAAAGAGAAATTAAAGTCCCATTGCGGCTACCAATTTGAGATTCAAGACAATTAACAACAACAATTTGTTTGCTCAATCGAAATTAGAAGCTTATGAACAAAGTCTTCTTTTTCCAACCAGGAATTCCTTACAAACTTGAACATTATACATTATTTTTGTACTTGTACCAAGCCAACCAATGACGCATAGGGTTGGCCTTCTGCTCTCTTGATAGGAGAATATCAACCTGTAATAAAGGGCGTAGGGCATGCCTCTCTTCTCCTACATTTTTACGGACCCTAAAAAAATCTTGGCTTTGCTTGATCACTTCTTCTACCATAACATAGTATCCCATGTCACCCTTAGTGAAGCCAACCTAAAAAAAAGCTTCAAATTCCCACCATAATTAAGTAGTACTGAAGATAATTAAGGATCGATCATATATAGAGAAAGAAACCCATGTATTCCTATCTGTTAGTAATGAAGAAATCCAAACAAGTCACCCACCTTAACAAATTAATAAGAAGTTAAAAAGAAAACCCAGGATAAAAGAAAAAGAAAAAAGAAAGACCCATATAACTTTTCATATTCTTTACCATGATCCTCCACCTAACATTCCAGCCCAATATCCAGTTGAATCTCCTTGCTCTTTATTTTGCTCAATATCAGTTGAGCTTGAGACTTGTTTCAGATCTTCAAATGGAAACAAAAGCCTCCCAGTTGTCTCTCGAACCCCCTGGAGACTCCCATAACCACTACCAAGTCCATCAAGAGAGAAATTTAGCGTTGGTTTAAACTCTTGCATAGGAAACCCAGATGTATAAACTGTATTTGGATCTGGACTTGGCAAGGGAATGAAAGAATTCAACCCCCTAGAAGAGATTCCAGTTAGCAACTCCAAAGCTGAAAGTTGAGATGTAGGGGATGAAGAAGAAGAAGGAATTTGGTTCTTATTGTTTTCTATGCTATCGGGAAGTTGAACCAATTCAGAGATACTTCTGTAACCTTGACTAGCTGGGAAAGCTAGGTTGAGATCTTGGCCATCATGGATCTTAGGGTTTTGAGTAGAAGACTGAGACAAGCTTGGTGGTGTAACCAGATCAGGAAGCTTCTTGGATGATGATGAAGAAGAAGGAGCTGATCTTTTGTTCTTTCTTGAACCACCTCCAACAGGAATATTTCTGAGGGAACCGCCTTCAGTCCAGTACCTTCTACAAGTCTTGCAAAAGTACCTAGGTTGTGTGAGACTGTAGTTGTTGTAGTAGCAGAACTTGGTGTTAGTTGAATTGCACCTGGGACAGTTCAAAGCTTGTTCCTTTTGAGGTCTTACCTTCCTCTCTAAAGATGCAGGCTTTGGACATGTATTTGTGACTATCTCTTCTATTGGTTTCACTACAATCTCCTAGACAGATAAACAACAAAAAAGCAATAGAAGATAAATGAAAAACATACATGAAAAGGGGAAGAAATAACTTCAAGATCAATCAAAGATGATCACACTGAAGGAAAAAACTGAAGATTAAAAAGAATATAGCAGACAAACGAAAAAAACCAAACGAGTTAACTGCTTTACACTTTCCAAGATTATAACAAGCCAAATATAAAAGAGAAAAAGAGAAAAGAAAGGTGAAAATAAAAGAAAGAAAAAGGAGTCCCTTTCCTTTATCTCATAAGCAAAAGAGAAAGATAAAGTGCAAAATGTTGAAGATAACTGATAAAAACCAAATCCAATTGAGTGGGGACTTCAACTATAGCCATGAACACCATCTTCCCCCCTTTCTTTTTTCTTTTGTACAGGATGAACACCATAATCTTTTGCAAAGAAAAGTACCCAATAAACATACAATTGACTCTAAATTATTCCTTTGAAAAGCTAAAAGGGTCTGATACAGAGAAACAAGAGTTAGCGAAGTGTTAGATCTCTCTACCTGCGGCCATTGAGCATTATCCATGGATGAAACTGGAAAGAAGGAAAATGAATAGTATATATCTTCAATAAAGAAAGAAAAAGTAGTAAACAATTTTTTTCTCACGAAACTGAATTGAAAAGCAGAGAAAAAATGAAATGTTTGCTGGTTTTTTAGGCCGTTCTATGTATTGTATCACCTTGCTTTTATGGGTTAAATGTTTATCTGAGAGAGAAAGAAAGAGATGGAGCGTTTTGTCGAATAATTTACTAAATATATATCACATGTGTATTTATTTTATAAATAATTCCTAAGTGGGAATATTTGTTTCTGAAAATATAATAATTTTATACAGTTTCTGAATAAAAAAAAATGTGGGTGGTTTATGTGTGTTTACATATATATCCTGTGGTGGATGGCCTTCCCCTTTCTGCCAAATTTGATTTTGCTCAAAAAAATTCTGTTTTTTTTTTTTTTTTGTATATAATTCCATCCTTTAACTCAATTTGTTTCGTTTATTTTTCTCATTGACTTAGTTTTGACTGATGAAGAAAAGCAAAGGAAATGAATTAATTGATTGCTGCTTGAGTTTGATCAGAAGTTAAAGCTTTAAAAACCCTTAAAACCCACAAATCCTCTCTGCATCTCCCACATATTTGATGTATAACTTTGAGTGAAGAAAGAGGCAAAAATCATCAAAAAAACAAATTTGGGTCCCAACTATTTTAAATGCAGATGGTGAATTGGTCCATGGAACATGTAATGGAATGACAGCACTTAGGTTGAGAGAGAGTACCAACAAATAATTTAATTTTATATATGGAGTACGGTGGCCTTTTTCTGGGTGTGAAGCTAGCATGCACGTAAGATGACTCAGGATCCACATTTATTTTGTGCTAATCTTGGTAAATTATGTAAGGCAATTACTTGCAGCCATAGGCCATTAATTTGCTCTAAACTTTGGTCACCAAATTGCTGCTTCACTCGCTGCACATAATCCACCAACAACACGTCCTGCATCAAAACAAAAGAAAATTAATGGCATATAGCTTGGACCATGCAACAAATTGAGAGACTTCCAGTTTTCCTGCTTATAAGCTTATATATATTAACATTGAAGGAAAGTTAGATGTTGCCTCATTACAACATATAAAATGGTAATTATAATTATGGTTTTTTTTTTTTTTTATAAAAAAGAATGTAATGAGAAAGGATTGTAAGTATTTGAATTCATGATTATGATTGATTAATCATCTCTTATTTTAAATATATACACTTTAAATTATGTCTAATTATTTTCTTCCCTTTTCTTTTCCTTTTACCAATAGTTAATAATTATTTAACTTCAAACACATTACTTTCAAATTGTTCCCTCCACACATTATTTATTATAAATATTTGATTACGTTAAAAACAAATGTTCTTTTTGTTTTTATCCAATTATCAGTTAAAAGAGTTGATATTGGATTATAGAATATAATACTTTTTTTTTACCGCTTTCTCGTACGGCAACAGCTTACTAACTATGTTTGTTTTTGACTTTATCAAACTGTCTGATCCTGAACTACAGTGGACGTCAAAGATGATAGAGTTCTTGCGATGAGGTGTAATCAAATCGAATCGAATTGATACAATAAAAAATTTAAGTTTGAACTCGACTCTTAACTCATGACTCGATATTCAGCTCGAATTTCATTGAATTTATTTTTTTAACTCGAATTCGATTCGTGATCGAATTTGAGTTACTCGAATTCACTCGATTAAACTCAAAAATATGTAAAAATAAGCTCGATTTTTATATTTGACAAAAGCTTGATTATTTGTGCTCAAGTTCAAGCTCGAATTCGAAATATTTTATTAATTAAAATAATAAAAAAAATTTAAATATAAAAGCTCGATTAAGCTCGTAAGCTATTTGAGTTGAGTATAAGAATATTCGAACTCGATTCGATTGATGAGTCTAGCTATTTGAGCTCGAGCTCGACTCGATAATAATCGAACTGAAGTCGAATTTTATTCGAATAGAACCTAAATAGCTTACGAATACTAATGTATCATTTACACCCCTAATCTTATGTACAGAAAGTTATCACGAAATTTTAATGTGGTTTAATTATATTTATAAAATATAAAATTAAAACAGTTTTATTATTAGAAAATTAAATTTATCTTATTAAAATATTTAGAACAAAACCTGTATGTTTATTATTAATTTGATTTTATGCTGAACTAAATTCATAAATCAGAACACAAGAAATTAGCAAAACAAAATCTTTAAACCCAAAATCTATTATTCCAATAAAAAATTAAAAAAAAATTCCAAACGCTCCTTTAACCGTTCACATGCAAATCAGCTTATTTCACTTGTCACTTAAAACTAGGGTTTTGCCAAAGCTCAAGTCTCCAAAAGGAATGATAAGGAAAGGTCACATCTTTAAGCTACATGATTGAACGGTCCTGATTGGGTCGTTTCCTTTTGGTCGTGATGAACTTTGATATATTAGTTGGGACCCTCATCCATCAACGGTCAGTCCACGTGCTTATCTTTCTGAACAAAACTCCTGTGATATTATATCACTACCACACGTAATTATAATCCCCCTAATGGGGCCCACCCAACACTACATCACTTGGAGCTATAATTTTACGTGCACACGTGGTTAACATCCACTGGCTTGACTAGATCAATTACAACGCTCCCAAGCTAAGGAAAAAAAAAGGGAAAATAATAATGAGATCGCTCATTGCTGGTTAGGCTGTGTTTGCGAATGGGCTCCTTTTATGTCCTTTGCCAACAAATAAAATGTAGTTAATGATCCCATTCCCATGCATAAATTGACATTGTGACGGTGCGGATCAGTGAGAAAGTTTTTTTTTTTTTTTTTTTACTTCTATTATTTCCACTTTGGACAATATAAAGCGATTAAGCAATAAGTCCTTCCTTCAAAACAAGTGAAGTTAAATTTGAAGAGTTAAGGCTTCATTTCTCAGTGGTAATTAATGGAATAATGTTCATAAATTGTTTTAATTGAAAATTGATTTTGTTATCAAATCCCTTGTGTGTTAACAACTTTTCAATAAGAATTTTTTACTTTAATTTAATTGATTTATATAATTATTTTAAAAAATAATATTTAATATATCTAAATTTTAAATTTTAATACTTACAATATTTTTTAATTATTTTTCACTTATATCATTAAAATTTAAGTATAATTCAACACAAATCTATTAGTTTTAAAAATATATAACTCACATGACAATTAAGTTATTTCATGTTAAAAATCTCATTTAGAGACTATTTTTACTCATAAAAAATAATATCCTCAAAATGTTCACATAAAATAACATTTATAATAATATATTTTTTAATTTTTTCTCAAAAATATATCAAATCTATTGATAATAAAAAATTTAGATACAATATATAAAAACAAAACATATAATTATAAGTATGTTAATATGTAAATATATATATATAATAAAATAAATGTATTAAGCACGTAATATTATTTTAGCATATAACAATTTTAAAAAAATGAAACATATAATATGAAAATTGTTGGTTAAAAAAAATTATTACAATTGAATATTTGTTAATTGGGTTTTAGTTATTATAATATGCATATATAAATATATATATATATATATATATCTTAAGCTCAAATTTTTATGTTTGTGAAAATACAATGACGACAAATTTATTTATTTTAAATTAAAAATTACTTATAATAAGTAAACCCAAATTAAAAAGTTATAATGTTTAAATACAAATAATTTTTATTATTATATATTCAATAGATATATAAAATAAAGAATAATATATATAAATACAATAAATTTTGAGGGTAATTTTATAATTACTTAACAGGTTGGAATGAATTATCCGTTCTTTAAATTGATGAACTTGTGTTGTATTGGATTATGTTCAAAACTAAAAAAATTTAAATAAAATTTAATTTTTTTATTATCAAAATACGGTGTCTTTTACGGAATATACATATATATATATATATATATATGTAAATTACCATTCGAGGGTTGGGGATGGGGGAGGAGAAATCTACACAAAAAGTGAGGGATAAGTCTTCGTGATTTGAGGAGTTCAGAATAGCCTTCAATCTTGTTCACAAGTTCCTTGACACATTTGCTGTATCCGTAATCATTAATCAAACTATATATCCATGAAAACAACATTATATTACTCTACAGTAGTGAATGGCGGCGATTTGAAGCCCTAGCCATCATCTCCAATGGAATGGCTCCACCCAAAAACCAACCGATAATCTCTTGACCAACACAACGCCTGCCATTAATTTGAAAGTTGAAAGTCTTCCTCGAGAAGAAAATTAAAAAATAAAAAAATGGAAATGGGGGCAGGTTGAGGATAGATAAAACTTAAATTAAGTTCTTCAAGTTCGTGAATTTTTTTAAATAATTTAATAAAAATTTAAATTAATAAAATTTAATAAGAAAATTAATAATATATAAAAATATTAAAAATATTATTTATAATTCAAATATATATTCAATTATCAAAATTTTATCAAAATTTTTATTAAACATATTTATATAAAAATGCATCAAAATTTTTTAATTTTTAAAAAAATTTTATAAATTTTTATATGACAATTTTTTAATCTATTAATTTTTATTTAATTATTTTTAATATAAAACATCACAATCTAAGCATTTTAGATTGAGAGCTGAGGGCTCCGTTTGTGATGAGAACAAGTGGGCGGTGGTGGTGTTTTTCGAAGTGGACCCCATTCCCATGCGCATTCTACATCACCAATTCCTATCCAATCAAGGAAGGAATCCAACCACAGCCATCTGATTAAAAACCCAAACCAACAAAAAAAAATTCCCCTTCGTCATGTCACGTGACTAAATCCCATCTTTGACGTGGACCGCATGTGAGCTAGCTAGTGCATTCCACGTCATCAACAAAAAAAAAATGTGTATGTTACTAACTATACTATATTCAACTTGATGACTTTTATGACTGACCAAAAAAAATTTTTTTGATGACTTTTATCATACCACGGCACTATTTTAAACCCCATGTATATGGTTGTAAAGTCCGATTGCTATAATCAAAGTTTTAAGTCAGTGTTTCACACTGATTACTCTATTTGAGCCGTTTGATCAGGGATGCATTGATTCTTTTGACACTGGTTAGCCAGGGAGATCTTCTTATAGGGACCCACTAAATCTCTGATGAGTTTGATCTCCACCCAGAGTTA